GCCTTGGCGGGGGTCTTCCTGGTGGGCTCCACACTATAATTACCACCACCTACTGAAAACGCATTGAACTGGTTTAGTGACTTTACTCCCAACAGGGCTCATGTGGAACTATTCAAACTGCTGTGTAAAAGCAAGAATATTTATAAAATTAAAAAATATATATTAAAAATAAGAAAACTAATAATAAATACATTTTGATGTCAAATGTGCAATGTGCTCAAATAAAGTGTATTAAATGTGAGGATCCTATATTACACAACATGGGATTCTGAGTGTCAAGATACTGTATCTTAGAACGTTGTTACCTCCTCAAAAAAACATACCTTGAGTTGTTTTATGTTTCATTCACACATGAGTTTCCTTTATTATTAGTCTGTCTACATCTCCAAAGCTCAAAAATGCTCTGTTTCATCTTGTGATGTCATGAACTGGTAGTTTTCAAGTTAATAGCTATGTTTTACCTTTTAGTTCAGTAGAGATTGGCAATTCCAGAGTTGAAATCATCTAAATGATTCTACTGAAGGTGTATGGAGTTTAAAAACATAGTGGAGCAGTTCCTGTATTACCACATGACATCACAAGGTGGAACAAAGTGTTTTCAGAGAAGAATTAAATATGCAGAATTTGTGTGTTAAACATGTGTGAATGAAACAAAACACAACTCCTGCTTTGTTGTTTGTAATGAGGAAACAACATTATAACATGTTCCAGAAAATAGAAAAATAAGGGCCCTTTTAAATTTTCCATATTTAGTCCAGGCTTATCCCTAGTTTAGCTCAAATTGCACATGTTTTTCTTACTTAAATAATGCTTATATTTCAGTAGTTCTGTTTTCCCTCCTATACAGATTTCCCTGTTGCTCAAAATAACAATACAGAGGAATCAAATGCAACAAATCCAATAAAGGAACAATATTCTGGGCCATATGCAAACGTGGCTTGTAATAAAGCTGGTATGAGCTGCTAGTTTTACACTCGTTTAGCTCAGGCTGAAATTACAATAAATAAATCTTCCTGTGTTCACTGTATGAGAAATACTGTATATACAACAGAGCAGAGAAAACACATATTTAATACACATACATGATACAGGAAATGCCACGGTAGTAGTATTAGTAATAATACTATAGTGGGGATAATTTACAGTAGTAGAAGTTGTAATAGTTGTTGTAGTTGTAGTATTAGTAGTAGTAGTGGTAATAGCAATATTCGTAGTAGTCCCAGTAGCAGTAATAGTAGCAGTAGAGGTAGATGCATTAACAAGAGCCGTATTACAGAGGTAATTATAGAGGTAGTAAAAGTAGCATCAATAGTAGAGATATTCATAGCAGAAGTAATAGTAGTAGTAGTAGTAGTAGTAGTAGTAGAGGTTGTCATATTGGTAGTAACAGTATTGTTAATAGAAGTAATAATACCAGTGGTAGAAGATAAACATCTAATTGAAAAGGCTAGTAGTAGCAGTAATAGTAGAAAAATTCCAGTAGTAGTAGTAATAGTAGTAGTTGTAAAGATTGCCACATTAGTACTAAAACCATGCACAAATTAGGTTGAACTAGGGACAACCCTAACCAGGCTGGCGCCACCTAGTGCCTCCGCTCAATTATATTTCTCTCCAGCGTCTAGGTCAGTAATCAGAATACAATAGACCATTTGCAAGAACCCCAGAAGTTGTAGACGGCGCACTAGCCAATCAGCGGAGAGCTGAATTGACCCGAGTTGTGATAGCAGACTACACATGCTATCCTCCTTTGGACTTCCTTTATCAAATACAAACTTTGCATTTTTTACTGCACTTTTAATTCGCAAGTTCAACTTACAGAAATAACAATGATCGTTGACAGACGTGTTCACTCTCTGCTTTGTTTGCTGTTGTGCCGGCAATTTCTTGGACACCACTGAGCGCTCCGGCACATTACATGTGTCACGACCAAATAACAGCGATTGGTTAAATAAAAAAAGTACCCGCCTACTGTCGAGTGAATGAATCCTAAAGCTGTGAGGTCAGACGGTTTCCATGAAGTGAAAGCAGCTGATAAATCAGAACAGGGCAACCCAGGACTAAATAATGAAAATGCAATGCTAAACCTGGACTGAACCCTCAACTTTCCTGGACCTAAACCAGTACCAAACCTGGAGTATATCATGAAGACTGAAGGATTACACTACACTATACATGTACTACATGGGTTTCTACTTAAAGGCACTGTACCTGATTTTTACTGTCTGCATTAGTACTGTAAGTAGTAGTAATAGAATTGGGAAAAGATAAAGCATGTAGTAGTAGCAGTACTAGCAGTAATAATAGTAGTAGTAGTAGTACAGGCAGTCACATTAGTATTGAGAGTAATACTAATAGGGAAAAAAATTAAGCATGTAGTAGCAGTATTAGCATGAATAGTAAAAGTAGACAGTCCCATTGGTTGGTATTGTAATAAGAGTAATACAGTTAGAATAGTTGTACAGAGATCATAGTAGTTGTGCTGTAACCTAAATAAAATGATATAATGAAACAAAACAACACTGGCATTAATAATAATACTAGTTACTCACTAATTACTTACTTTTACTACTTACTAGTTTCTCCAGGCCCCCCAAAAAACTCAATCAAGGATGTCACACGCACGCACACACACACACACACACACACAAGCACACGCACACACACACACACACACACACACACACACACACACACACATCTACTGTTATGTAGCTGTCATAATAAGACATTTTGAAGCACGATACAGAAGTAAAATGAAATATTTCAATAAACAATAATATTGGTGGTCCTAACTACTTTTTTCCACTGACACAAAGCAGGATCATTCCAGTAAACCAGTTGTTAAAGAGACAGTACAATGAAATGATAGTTATAGACGTTATGTATTCTACTCTCCACAGCTTACGTTATTACATAAAAATTGAATTCAGTCAAAAGTCTCCCAACTAGTGAAAAGAGAATGTGCAGACGATAAACACTGAGACCCAAAATAATTTGTTCAAGTTTTCATATACTGAATGATAAACTGATTCAGCATTTATCGTGAAAGGCATATATGTAAGAATTATCTCTGTTCAAACTGAGGTATAAAAGGTTTGACTTTGAAATTTTATTTTTAAATGTATTTGAGCAAAGATTGTAGCATAAAAATGAAAAATAAAATACAACAGAACCATGTATTACAGTGTTTCTCAAACTGCGGTGTGTGTACCACTGGTGGGGTGCAAGCTCTTAGATGGTACACAAGGTCTTTTACAATTTTAATATTTACTTTAATATTTAAGAAGAGTCCATTTTATCCAGCTTTTGGCGCTCCTTGGGTAATTCTTGGTGGGAACTATAGCAGCAATTATATATTTCTATTGTTTAGCCCTAGTTTATCCCCAGAATACTACTATTAAATGTCTTATATTACGCAAAACTGACTCTTGTGAGCTTTCAATCATGTTAAAATATTGTCACCTTCTCAAAAACATGCACTGAGTTGCGTTTTGTTTCATTCACACATGTTTGAGTAATCCTTTATTATTAGTCTGTCTACATCTGCAAATCTCAAAATGCTCTGTTCCACCTTGTGATGTCATTTAGTGGTAGATTGCAAGTTAACTGCTATCTTTTACCTTTAGTTCAATACAGATTGGCAATTCCAGGTCTAAAATCATCCAAATGATTCTAGTGAAGGTATATGGAGTTTAAAAACACAGTGGAGCACTTCTTTTATGACATCACAGGGTGGAAGAGAGTGTTTTCCGTTTGAGAGAAGAACTCAGCCTAAATATACAGAGTTTGTGGGTTAAACAGACCCTAGGTCTGTTTGTGATGAGGAAACAACAGTATACCGTAGATCAGAAAATAGCGTAATACAGACCAGTTAATTAAGCGTCAGTTCTAGTTTTTGGTCCTCTTTGGGTAATTTCCTGATGGGAGCTACAGCAGCAACGATGTATGCTCATTTTAGTCCCAGTTTAATCGTGGAATACTACTAATAAAAACCTACCCGGAAAGTTTTTGTTGGTGGTACTTATCCACACTTGGTGACGTTATCGTGAGTTTTAAAGTAAATTTGATCTTGATTTCTGTTGTAACTAAAAGACCTCACTATAACTAACTGTGGAAAGTGGTCTGTCCTGAAGAATGCATTCAAATCAATATGTCAGAAACAGACTCGAGCTTGGATTGGCAAGCCACACGGCAACGTCTAGAGGCGTGCCGGTGCGTAATTGCGCGTAAAAACCGATGGTACGGCAGATTTAATCACGCTATACCTCTATGTTCCAGAATGTTGGCTGTACTTTTGCATTAATTGCCTGTAATATCAATCTACCCAAATTAATAAATTAAACAGATAATTAAAAATATATTGCAATGTGGTTCAATTAGGAAATTAAACGACGTTGCGTTAGAGTTCGCGGTTGTGCGTAATTCTGCGTAACATTCTAGTATGGACGCATTGGGCATCACGGTACAGTATCTCCTTTGAGGATACTCCTTATAGTAGTAGCTGGATATTTGTTGCAATTGTTTATAAAGTCCAATAAATATTGAAACAGGCCCACTACAATAATTTGAGACAAACACACACTAGCCTTTAATAGTTGTAGCAGTAGTAGGCTATAGTGCAGGTTGCCATAAGGACTGCACTCTGGATCTGTCGATTCATTCTTTCTAATAAGAAGATACTGTTAGTGTTGAAAATAAGGTGCAACGAAATCAATGCTTTAAAACAATCTGTGCGTAAACGCTGGCAATGGCTGCTTTAGTCACCACGCAACTCGTAATGCTACAAGAGGATGAGCAGCGGGTTTCCATAAGAGCTGAACTGAATCTTCCGGATATCTTATTACATATTGCCCAAGAGCACAGGAAACAATTGTATTAGAATGATTTGTGCGTAAATGGCGATGCCTGTTTTAGAGCGCACGCTACACAGCCATACACTGTACCACAGCCTTGGCTAAGATGCTCGTGAACTGTCAGTGTGTAAAAATCCGGAAACTTACCGCAGTCCTCGCACAAAACCCGCTCCACGTCCTTCTTTAGCTCGGGCTCGCTGGCGTCCACGGGGGCGTACGAAGCCTTGAAGACCAGCGGCTCGCCCGTGGGGTCCATGAAAAAGATGTAGCGGTGGTCCTTCTCCACGGGGGTGCACGGGGCCTCGGAGCCGAAGTCCCCCACAGTGACGAGCTGCTCCCGCTCTAGGCCGCCGCTGTTCACGGGCCACACGTCCAGCACGCGGACACTCACACTGTAGGGCTCCCGGGACGAGGTGTTTTTATCGGGGAAGGAGCTCACCTCGCCCTCGATCACCACGGCCGAGCGGTATGCCTGGTCCTGGAGGGAGTTGAGGCTCGGGGCGTAGCAGGCGAACGAAACCCCGATGACCAGCATGGAGAAGTGCACTGGGTCGAGCCTCATGCCGTTAGCCGGTGCTGGGACAGAGATGCAGACCGAGTGACAGTGTCCATGCCATCCCCATGAACGGCGACCGGCCTCCGCTGGGGGACACACACAGCACGCCTATGCACCGCCAAGAGCCCGCGCGTGCATGCTCAAAAACGCTGCATTCTCCGTATATCCCCTTGGTATCTCCCGTTTCCTGAAACTCGTAAATTAGCCTCCTCTGTATCCACAGCGCTGGCTCTCTCTCTTCCCTCTGAGCTAATAGGCTAGCATCGCATGGGTGGGCGCTTCGTGGAAAAGGGGGGAAAAGCACAAGTAAAAAAAAAAAAAAAAAAACGCAAGGTCGGCTCGTTTATCCACTTATGTCGATGTCAGAGCGCTGTCCTGTGAAGCCGGGGCGGAGGAGGAGAAGCGGCGGTGATGGAGGCTGAGGGGGGAGAGACAGCAGCAGTATCCGGTGAGGCGATGCAACAGTATATCCGCGTCCCCTGCGCCCCTCATCCCATCAAACGGCTTACGTGAGCAAACATCGCCGGCCCGGTCAGTGCACCTCCTGCGCTAACAGCTTAATGACCCAGGCACAGGCGGCACACAAGCGGAACATACGCGGCACACAGGCGGTACACACGCGGCACACAGGCGGCAACGGTCAGCGGCAGAGGTGGCGGCACGAGCACCTGATAACGCCACCGGCTCGTGCGCGCTAAAGCCCAAATTCACGGCCGCAGTGCACCGATACGAGGACTACACTAAAGCCAAGCCCAGTCAGGACCGAGAGACGGCACAAGGCACGAGCTATAGGCGCTGCACACACACACACACTGCGGAGAGCCGTTGCGATGACTAACGCTGCGAAATTCTCTCAATGGGGTCCTAAACATGGCGAGAGTAGCGCTTCAGATGCCCCCAGTCCTCATGTTCACCTCCCACCGCCCCACAGCCCCACTTTGGTATGCGAGCCATTGCAGCACTGCTCTGCCTCCGGATAGGCGACACTTTAAAGGGCCCATAATACGCTATTTTCTGATCTATGCTCTAATGTTATTTCCACATCACAAACACACCTGGAGTTGTGTTTTGTTTCATTCACACATATTTAACACACACAACCTGCATATTTAGGCTGAAACTGAAAACACTGTTCCACCTTGTGATGTCATGTGGTAATACAGGAAGTGCTCTACCATGTTTTTAAATTCCACACTCCTTCACTAGAATCATTTTGATCATTTCCAGCCTGGAAATACTAGACTCTACTGAGCAAAAGGGAAAATGTAGCACTTAACTTCATGACATCACAAGGTGGAACAGAGCATTTTGAGTTTTGCAGATGTAGACAATGTAACATTATAACATGGCTAAAAGCTCACAAAAGTGAATTCTGCATAATATAAGACCTTTAAAGTCTTTTCAATTGACAACTATCATGACATCTCTTTTTGAAGGTATTGTGAAAAAATGAATCACCTCATGACAGTTTTTGTTTCAGTAACTACAGAGATATCAACCATAAACCAGGTCAACAAATCTGAAATGTGACAGTTAAACAGCAGGATTCTGACCTGACCTCCAGCTAAATCTGAAACCATTTTGAATCATTTAGAGGTCACATGAACACACTTTATTGATCAGTCATGTGACGGTCTGCACATCTGACCTGTCTACTTCTAGTGAGGTACCATCAGTATCTATTTAAAGGTGCACTATGGAACTTCTTATGTGGAGGGTCCGCTACTTGCTTGTCTCCATGACGATATTATTTCTTTGCCCGTAGTAGGGCATTAAACATATCTCCCTTGCATTTGTTCAGTTACAGGGGTTTTATAGCTCATGAATTCTTACCACGTGCAGGTTTGCTTCTCCATAGATCTGACTATTAACCTGTTTCTATTGTGATTACCACGTTTATTTCCATTTCCTTATTGTGGAATAATCAAGGCAAAACAGTAATATCTCCATGGAGACAAGCAGGTGGCCGACCCTCCACCAGAAAAGTTACACAGTGCACCTTTAAAAAAAAAAATCCAAATCTTTTTCATAATAAAAAAACACTCTTTCTTTAGACAATAGAAGGTAATTTTTAACATTAAATCATAGTAGTTTCTTTTCATGTGGTCTTATATCTGTGTAATTCCTCAGCGGTCCAGGTAGGTTCCATAGTGGTCCATGTGCGTATACGAGTCTATGTGCTCTTATACTTGTTCTGATACAGCTCAAGATCATTCTAAAACTATTCAGGAAAGGTTCATTTCTGTCCTGTGACTCTGACTTTTTAGTACTGATACCTCCTCAAATTAATATCTAGCTTTGGTACAAGTTTTAAGTATTGGTTAGTGTCTGATTTTCGATTCTTTTGACAACCCTGGGACTTTGCATGCAGTCACTTTACTGATATTTTTTAATCTTGCCTTTGTCATTCTTTTACCTCATCAGATGTCCCGACCAGTGGTGGAATGTAATGAAGTAAAAGCAGTACAAAAGCAGTAAAATAGTACTGTATTTATGTATAAATCTATACCTCACTTAGGTGCATTTTATTTTTACTTCACTACATCTGAGAGTTGATATCTGTATTTCCTCCATTACATTTTTGAACAGGACTGAAAAGTTAAAGTATTTTTTATTATTGCTTGAGCCCCGCTGAAAAGACTGAGAGTTTATTTTTAACACTTCATAATTTGAGCCAACTAAAATATACAAATAAAAACAGCTAAAATAAAAAAGATCGATTCAGTTGTTTCTGTTGAGCAAAATTCAGCACAAATCTGAATCAAAACCAAGACATTTGAAGCCTTATTAGAGCTCATAATCTCCGCTAAATACTTTTACTTTTTACTCTTTAAGTACATTCTAAACAACTACTTTAATACTTTTAGAGTATATGTGAGTAGATAGACATGCTACTTTTACTTTTGCTAGAGTATTTTTTTGTTTTGGTATCTATACAAAATAGCAAGTACTTTTTTCACTGTTACAGACTCTTGTGAGCTTTAAGACATTATTATAATGTCAACAAAACACACTTGGAATTGTGTTTTATTTTATTCACACTTGATTGAGTAACTCTTTATTATTAGTCTGTCTACATCGCCAAAGAGTTTAATGTGTGAATGAAACTAAACACAACTCCAGGTCTGTTTGTGATGAGGAAACAACTTTATAACATAGACCAGGAAATAGTGTAATATGGGCCCTTTGTATAGTTTCTTCTCACCCCACATAGTATTGTTCTATTTAAAATACTACTCTATCCACATCCATCGATCAGTAGTCACCTTATCTTCTGTGTCATCCTCAGCCTTCGTCCTGGATCTAACCTGGAAACACAGAACAGGGTCAGGGAGCGGACATCTTGGACAGGTCAATTTAAGCATGACGAATGGGCCAAAGGACTCACAGCATTTCAGTCGGTGCTTTTCAGATCCTACACTGTGATGATGTCGTACTCCTGTTGATTACATTCCACTTTAAAGTCACACATTTTGGATCTGATCGTGTCTATGAGCGCCTAGACCCATGAACTCACTGCAACACATCAGAATTGGAGCCACATACATCTTAGCTGGCCCCCGTCTCTATTAAATATTAGACAGTGTTGTGATGTCGTCTCCGAAAGAGGACTCCATCTTGATAAGGGCAGTGCAAGATAAACCCTGGAAGAAATTTTGTAGATTTATGACCTAATGTTTGTGTAAATTAAAACAAAACAAAACAAAATAACAGCAGTTTGGAATAAGAGCGATAAAAGAGCTTATTTACTTTGCTTTACACCTCATGTTATTATTATTATTATTTTTTTTATATTATTAATTCGAAATCATCTTACAGTACAAACCTTCAACAAGACCTTCGTAACCCAAACTTTAATTACAGTAAGAGATTTGTTCTTTAAAGTTGCAGTGTGTAACTTTTTGACTCCATGGAGACAAGCAGGCAACATCACCAGGCCAAGTTACAGGTCAAATCTGTGGAGAAGTGAGCCCACACACAGTAAGAATGCATGGCTTTGCAGTAGTTTCGAGGGAAAAAATGCCTCTAAATGAGTAAATACAAGACATATTTGTTTAATGCCTTACTGTGGAACATCCCAGCCAAAGCATTGACATCATCATGAGACAAGCAGATGCAGGACCCTCCACCAGAAAAGTTACACAGTGCATGTTTACTAGTGCCTTAGCCTACATGCTGAGCTACAAAATCTGAACTAAAATGATGGCAACCCAAATGAGAGACCCGTATTTGGATCATTCTGCTTTCTGATTGGATAATAATCTCGAGAACTAAATGGATAAAATAAAAACATCACCACCATGTACAGTGTGTTTGTAATCACGAATAAATCAGTCAAATCAGTAAAAGTGAAGGCCTGGACAAATAAGGCATTACTTGAAACATTAAAAGTATTTGATTTGGGCATGTTTTCTTATGTATGAGGACACAAAAAGGTCATGTTCATAAAATTATAAATAAAAAATCTACATTCACCATCATTGAGTGTTGTTTGACATTTTAATTAACATATTTTTTCTGTAAACGTAGAACAGTGGCTCTTACTTAAAGGTCTTATATTACGTAAACCTGACTGTTGTGAGCTTTTACTCATGTTATAATGTTGTTACCTCCTCAAAAACAGACATGGAGTTGTGTTTTGTTTCTCTCACATGTTTGAATAACACTTTATTATGAGTTTGTCTACATCTCCAAAGCTCAAAATGCTCTGTTCCACCTTATGATGTCATGTAGTGGTAGGTTTCAAGTTTACACTACCTTTTACCTTTAGTTCAGTGGAGATGGGCAGTTCCAGGGCTAGAATCATACAAATGCTTCCATATGACACCACAAAGTTTTAGAGGTTTTAGAGAAGAACTCAGATATGTTTTAAATATGCAGGGTTTGTTTGTTAACTAAACATGTGTGAATGAAACATAACACAACTCCAGGTCTGTTTGTGATGAGGAAACAACATTATAACATAGATCAGAAAATGGCGTAATATGGGCCCTTCAAAGTTGCCCCTGTATCTGTGCTCAGGCCACAGGGGGACTGCCGCTGTCCATGGTGCTGAAATAAAAACAATGACATTATATACATTAAAATGTCCAGTTACAGTAATTATTCACAGGTAATTTAGTTGCATAAAAAACTCTCCCAAAAATACCAACATAAATGATTATTATAATTTTATATAGAAAGTTTAATTTGCACCTCAAATGTGCAGTCCTGGATTCATAGTCAAAGCTGTTGGCATATTTTAATAAACATATATTTTTTCTTAATTTCCTGCAGCTTAAGGAATGCTGTTGCTCCATCCTTTAAGAAATGACCGTTTCAACCACGAGCTTCAGTAGAACTGTACTTACCACCTGTCACCACTTGAGGGCTGCAGAGAGCATATTAATCCTCAATTTCTACACCGATAAAATGAATATAGAGTCATTTAAACTGAGTTACCAAATAATTGATCAGTTCAATGCGGTTATAAATTTTTTTGCAGACAATTTTTTTATTTACTTGAAATTTGAGCTCGAATTCTCTTTGTTAATTTTGCAATGCTTTGTTGTTTTTATTCACTTATCTGTTTATTCTATTTTTGTTTGTCTTTTAAACCTGTTGTCTGTTTAACCAGTTTTATTCTACTTTAATTTGTTTAGTCAAATATATAACTATGTGAAGTACTACAAACCGTCTTGTTTGTGAAACCTATTAATTATAAATAAATAATAGATTTTTTTTAATACTCTAATCACTTTTTAAAGTTATTAAGAAAGGATGTATTGACTGAAACAAAGTGTTTTACAGCAGCATTTTGGGGGCGGGTCCCTTGGGTCCGGGCAGGGGCACCGGCGCTGTCCTCGGTGCTGAAACAAAACAAAGACCCGGCAGATCCTTCATGTGAAGCCAGAGTTTCTCTGAATGTATAGATAAAGTAATGCTGTGTAAATACTACGTACTACTGCTCCAAAACTGCACTTAACACAAAACACATAAGACAATATTCAGACCATAAACTGGTGTTTCAAAACATCTCAATTATTCTGCCTCATTGGCAGGTGAGCCCTGAGCCCTGAGTGACATTCGCCAATAAGTAAAAGTGGTCCATAAACTACGTATAAATAACATACAACATTTAAAAAGAACTTTAACTACCTCTACAACTCCCACCAAACCATGATCATGTGTTATTCTGACACCACAGTCTTTAGTGGGTTAAAACATAAACATAAACATATAGGCCTGCCTCGTGCGTCAGTGAATGCAAAATGATGCAATTTGTAAAAAAAAAAAAAAAAAAAAAAAACAAGGAAAAAAAAAGACAACTTTGGTGATTCACAGAGAGCAAAAATGAAAACAGGAAAAGGGGAATTGTTTTGATCATTACTGTTATTACGCATTTGTAACACGTGTTTATATGACTTTTTCACACCTCAGTGTCCGTGAGGCTCTGCCCCAGTTTAACTTTCATTTCTAATGCGCCACGAGCCGAAATGAAACCAGTGTTGCACACGGGGTGCTGGCTCCTGAACGCAGCTCATTGGAGGACTACAGTAACGATACTTTCATTTTTTTCCCCCTCTGCTCTCGCGTGTTCTCGCGAGACAGCGGTGTGTTTGACGGGCAGTCGAGGTTGCAGAGGCAGGGAGACGGTGGAAGGTAAAGCAGGGAGGCAGCATCATGGCGGACAGAGACAGTGGCAGTGACCACGGAGGGCCCACCACAGGCCCGCTGCCTCCGGGGGCGATGGGCGGCATGTCCCGTCTGCAGCACGACACCGAGGAGCTCGCCTCGAAGCGGGTCGACATCCAGAACAAGCGCTTCTACCTGGACGTGAAGCAGAACGTCAAAGGCCGCTTCCTAAAGATAGCCGAGGTCGGCGCTGGGGGAAACAAGAGCCGCCTGACTCTGTCCATGTCCGTAGCCGTGGAGTTCCGAGACTACCTCGGGGACTTTATCGAGCACTACGCCCAGCTGGGCCCCTCCAACCCGGACCTGGTGCAGGACGAGCCGCGGCGGGCGCTGAAGAGCGAGTTCCTGGTGCGGGAAAACCGTAAATACTACATGGATCTGAAGGAGAACCAGAGGGGGCGGTTCCTGAGGATCCGGCAGACCGTTAACCGGGGGCCGGGGCTGGGCAGCGCACAGGGCCAGACCATCGCTCTCCCCGCGCAGGGGCTCATTGAGTTCCGCGACGCTTTGGCCAAACTCATCGATGACTACGGGGTGGACGAGGACCCCGCGGAGCTGCCAGAGGGCACGTCTCTGACCGTGGACAACAAGCGCTTCTTCTTCGACGTGGGCTCCAACAAGTACGGCGTGTTCATGCGGGTCAGCGAGGTGAAGCCCACGTACCGGAACTCCATCACGGTGCCCTGCAAAGTGTGGTCCAAATTCGGCAACACGTTCAGCAAATACGCGGAGGAGATGAGGCAGATCCAGGAGCGGAGTAGAGAGAAGCGGGCCTCAGAACTGATGCCCGAGAGCCACGGGGGCGACGAGGGCGAGGACGACTGACCGCGAGCTCGGAGCAAAAATCAAACCGAATCACGTGACTTTGTAAAATAGAGATGTTGAAGGGAATCACCCACACAACCTCCACGGACAGCCCGCTGTCTCCTCGTCATTACCGGATGTCTCCCACAACCCACCACTCACAGTGAGCCGCTGCTAAACGGAACTGTAAGATACGAACCGTTTCTACTTGATTTACTGACAATGACCAGAGTGTTTATATCTCCAAACGACAGATTTTGCACACGTCAAAGCTATTTGGGAAAGTTTAATGTTTAAAGGGGTAGAAACTTAAGATTGAATCTAAACAAACCAGAGTCTATTATATAAATATAGAACAAATATTTGACATCAGCACAAAGAGAAGAGTATATTATGGACTAAATGAAACCAAATGTGATAGTTTATTCAGAGGTACGAGGCTGCAGCCTGTAGCATGCTGTGGGCTCACGAACTACTTTAATTTGACCTTAGCCAGAGAGCTTCATGCATTTAGAGTCAGAGCCCTCCGCGCTCCAACTAACGGGATAAAGATATCTCAAATATTAAATCTCAGCCCTTTGCACCATGTCCATATAAACTTAATGAAAAAAGTGCTAACTTAGATGTACTAATTATGATTTTGTGAATCAGCTGTAAAAAAGATCCTTATTAAGATGCCCACGTTTTCAGTGGGTTTTTCTGTTTTGTTTGTTCCTGGGGGGGTCCTGGAGGGAGGGAGGTCCTGGGGGGGAGGGTTCCCAGGGGGGTTCCTGGGGGGAGGGGGGTAAATCTAAACTGAGGTGAGACGGCGGCGCAGCGGCATCCTCGTCATTACGACCTGTGCCTTATTCTCACTCGTTTACGGCTCACGAGGTCCTCTGGATCAGTGCTGGAGGGCTACAGCAGGGGGCGCCAACACCAACTGCCCCAGACCTGCCCCTGCAACGCCACAGCTGCCCGGGGCAGAGGCCCTCAGCGCGGGACACCAGGAGGACAGGATACGGGTGGCTTTGCACATATGCACCATGATGTGAAACAAAGCAACAAGAAGAGAAGAGTGAGGTGGTTATTGTCCCATCCCAGACAGGGGTCAGTGGAGCAGGCTCTTTATGGTGCTACCGTCCCGAGAGCGAACTACGGGGCATCACCGTGTTTCATTTCTTTAACCAGAGCTTTCCTCGGCTTCTTTAGTCCAAAATACCGCTCCACTCCCCACCAGCGGAGCACCTTTCATTTAGTGTGCAATATCGCTTCGGCTGCATCTGTGTGTACAGTAACTGACATGTACAGGCTCTGTAATGGTCTGAGCGCATGAGGAGCGTAAATGTGAACTGTTCAACACTTTAGACTGGCCAGGATCAGACCGGCTCAGTCCAGGTCCGGTTCAGGTCTGGTCCATGTCCAGTCCAGGTCCGGTCCAGGTCTGGTCCAGGTCTGATCTTGGAGGATTTGGGAGACTTTCTGACACCTCTGATGTGAACATGGGGTGCTGTCTGTAGGGGGCAGAGGAGAGTCGCCTCTGTGTGGGGTTTAGCACAGATAGAGGAGTGTGTAGTTTTACTAAAATAATTTTTAATATCTTTGTTTTTCTCTGTCACTTTGGGGAAATAACCAGTGACTAGGCAGAATCCTGAAATCATTCCTCAGTCTTAAATTCCCAATTGAATAAGATCACATGTTCGATTTAGCCTTCTCAAGCCCGTTTAACTGTCAGAAGTGTCCAGCTACTGAGTGACCTTATCTGACCTATGTGGGCTTACGCATCAGGGTTGGGCAGAACGGCGGTGCGCCCTCTAGTGGCCGCAAGGGGGAGGTGCAGGATCATCCCACTAAAGCAGCTGGGTAAAAGCTGCTAATGTGGTTTCAGCAGGATTTTAACTGGAGCCAACTCAGTCTTTTAAACTTTAACCAGAGACAGTCCAATGAAGGGGCTTGTTTGTAGCCTGGTTATAAAAGTTAGTAATGCTTTATTTAGAGGTAAAATGATCCCAATAGAAAGGATCGCTGTCTTGTGGCTAATAATAAAGTTGGAAGATATTTCATTCAAACTAGAAGAAATTAAGTTACGCACATGGAAACTAAACTTGGTCTTCTAAACTGTCTATAATTTAGATTTCAGAATTTTAGGGCTTAAATTTTTACAACTGTATCTTAATTCTTTTTTGCAAACAACACAAATTAACTAAAATAAATATAGGCAGAAAGTGACATTTATTCTCCACTAATTGAATAAGATTGAATGAAGAAAAATACCTTGTGCCACCAAAGCCTTAAAGGTGTAACTGTGTAACTTTTCTGGTGGAGGGTCTCTCGCCTGCTTCTCTCTATGGAAATGTTGCCTGGAATGTCCCACAGTATGGCTTTGCATTTATTTATCTCTATGGACACAGCAGGCGATGCCTTAGGGCCAGGCTGCATGTCAGATCTGTGGAGAGGCGAGCAAACTCACAGTAAGTGACGTGAATGCAAGTTTTTAAATCAATAAAAACCCATGTTATTGAGTAAACACAAGATGGGTACGCTTAATGCCATACCGGAACATTCCAGACAAGGCAGCAACATTGTTACGGAGACAAGCAGAAAAGTTACGCAATGAACCTTTAACAAAATCTATGGGAAACACTGAAATCCACTTTAAAGCATTGTAACATTTTTACAGTTTCATTCTGTTAAACAAAGATTGCTTGACCGTGTCACAAACTGCCCTTTCATAACGCGATTTCTGGATGTTTTGACTGAGTTGGGAGTTAAAAACCTCGTCTGTCTCTGGTTTGTTACGGTTCTGAGTCCGGGCCAAGTCCAGATCTGATCCCAGCTCCATCTGGTCCCCGCGGGGCAGAGCAGGATCCTGGCCTTCATTTGGCTTTAAACCACAGAGCTGCACAATATGACGGAAATGTAGTCGTCAATAGCAACAGAATGTTAAATAATGAGAAACATTTTTAGCTAATTTAAAGGGTCTATAAGATGTCGTTTTCTGATCTATGTTATTTTTATAATGTTGTTTCCTCATCACAAACAGACCTGGAGTTGTGTTTTGTTTCATTCACACATGTTTAACACACAAACCCTGCAGATTTATCATGTTCTTTTCTCAAACGGAAAACACTCTGTTCCACCTTGTGATGTCATGTGGTAATACAGGAAGTGCTCCACTGTGTTTTTAAACTCCACACACCTTCAGTAGAAACATTTAGAGAATTTCAGAGCTGGAATTGCCAATCTCTACTGAACAAAAGGTAAAAGGTAGCTGTATATCTTGAAAACTACCGCTTCATGACATCACAAGGTGGAACAGAGCATTTTGAGCTTTGGAGATGTAGACAGACTAATAATGCAGAATTACTCAAACATGTGTGAAAGAAACAAAACACAACTCCAGGTCTGTTTTTGATGAAGCTCAAAAGAGTTAATTTTAAGTAATACAGGACTTTACTGATTTATTTACTAGTCAAATCAAGACTTAAAACATGAACAAAAATAGGCAAAACGTCGATTACAAATACTGTGTGCACTGTGTAACTTTTCTGCTTGTCTCCATAGAGATCTTATCGCTCTGCCTAGAATGTTCCACAGTATGGCATTACACGAATCTACCTTGCATTTACTTAAACTTACTATTAAAACACCACATGCACAGTTAGGAGTAAGAAAAAAAGACGAAAAAAGAGATGATACATACATTCTCTTACTGTAGGTGGGCTTGCCTTTCCACAGATCCGACCTATCACCTCGCCTGATGGATTCACCTGCTTGATACAGTAGATGCGTTTAATGCCACCAGAAAATTACATAATGCTTCTTTTTGGGTGATTTTGGTGGTACATTTCTGTCTCCATGACGATGTAATTGCTTTGCTCGGAATGTGTCACAGTTTTAAACTTGACAGTCTCCATGGAAACGAGCAGGAGACACCACCGTGATACGGGTCAGATCTGTGCAGAGGATGTCCCGCTCACTGTAGTTGTAGCCGTAAATGAATGAATGAATGGTACACGGATAAATTTAATGCCACACAGATGAAGAAAAGTTACACAATGCACCTTTAACCGTGATATTGTGCAGCTCCTCTATTAGACTCTATTAGTTTTGCCTGTCCCTGGTTGACATCATGACCGATTTGTTTATTGGTGGAAGAGTTTAAAGTAGATTTCAACTTTTCCTGAGTGATTTTATTGCAAGTTTGAACCGTAACATGCAGTTTACAGGTCACCTTTTTACAACGAGGAGGTCTGGTCGTGTGGCGTAGCTCGCACTCACCAGATCTACCACATCTAGAATATTGTTTACCATGGGATCTTTAATAATAATGGCTATTTTTTAATAATTAGTCCATTGGTGATTGATTTGATAGTGGAAATCCCTATAAAAATCAATAGTCCAATGCAGTTAATTATTGTTAGTAATAGTAAGGATTATTTTCTATGGGTTTGCTTAAGATTTGAATCGAAGTTCAAATATAGATAATTTATGTTCAGGCCTTCTATTTTGAAGAACTGATTTTACTTACTGTTTAAAATTTGCAACAGTCTTCTTGCAGATCTAGGTTACAAAAGAGTTATCTAAGCAAAAAAAGAGACAAAACTTCAAATGTGTTCGATTTTCTGTTTTAAATAACACAAACACGAACTGCTAAACTGAAAATCTACAGTTAAAATCACCTGAAGTCAGACATTTTTTTTTTTTAATTTGAGTTTAGTTTTTGCCAGTTTTCTTCATTTACATGTATTTTTGATTTCTGGTTAATTTTTGGTGTATTTCAAGACAGAATATTTGTCCAAGAATTAAGAAATTGTACCTAAAAGTAAACCAAATCATTCTATAATTTTACTTTGAAATTTGAAAGAGAAATACTGAAACCAGTCACTGATATGTGGAAACAAAAAGAAAAAAAATAAAGCTAAACTGGCGAAATGACTCAAATTTAGAGAAATATTATGAATTGAGGAGATTTTAACTAAAGTATATATACGTTTTTGTGATTTTTAGGTGACCTTTAAACTGCTGTCTCCCCTTTAAGCACACCTGACGTTAGTTATAGTTCAGCTTAATTTATAAAGCACTTATGCCCCAAAACTTTTAGCGCTTTTTAGCTTTAGACAAACTGAACAGCGCCTCCTGCAGGTGCGTAAGTATAACTGGAAATGCAAAACTTAACAAAAATATCTGTTGTTATTTTTTTTTCT